CACGTGATTTCTGCAGAAGGAGTCAAAGTTGACCCATGCAAAATTTCAGCAATCACTGAATGGAAAACTCCACGCAATACCCGTGAGGTACGGAGTTTCCTTGGACTCGCTGGATATTATCGTCGCTTCGTGAAGGATTTCTCTCGAATCGCTACACCACTTCATAAACTGATGAAGAAGGATGTCAAGTTCGCTTGGATAGAAGCTTTTCAGAAAAGCTTTGAACAGTTGAAAGAATGTTTGACTCAGGCACCTGTGTTAGTTCAACCGACACCTGGAATTGAATACACAGTTTTCAGTGACGCATCACATCAGGGACTCGGGTGTGTACTGATGCAAGAAGGCAAGGTCATAGCTTATGCATCACGACAACTGAAACCTCATGAGTGTAATTATCCGACTCACGACTTGGAGTTAGCAGCTGTTGTTCTTGCACTGAAGATCTGGAGACATTACTTATATGGCGAGACGACTCGCATCTTCACCGACCATAAGAGTTTACAGTACTTGATGAGCCAGAAGGAGTTAAACCTTCGACAAAGAAGGTGGCTAGAGTTGATTAAGGACTATGACTGTCACATCGCTTATCATCCTGGTAAAGCGAATGTGGTAGCCGATGCTCTTAGTCGAAAGACTCTTGCTGAACTCCGCATACGACCTACGTTGGATCAGGATATCATTTCAGCACAGCATCAGGATACTTTTTGTCTCGAGACACGTAAGCTTGTTTCCAAAGGAGAGAAACAAGACTTCTCTGTTCGAGATAATGGTACACTATACTATCGAGATCGTTTGGTAGTACCATCAGGTGATGTGAGAGATCGCTTATTGCGTGAAGCTCACAGAACTGTGTATACCATGCATCCCGGAAGTAACAAAATGTAACAGGATCTGAAGAGACACTACTGGTGGTCAGCTATGAAAAGGGAGATTACCGAATTCACATCGAGGTGTATGACTTGTCAGCAAGTCAATGCAGAACATCAGGTACCCACAGGACTTTTACAGCATATCACTATTCCTGAGTGGAAATGGGACCGCATTACGATGGATTTCGTAATCGGATTACCATTGTCCCCGAAGAAGAATGATGCGGTATGGGTTATTGTTGGTCGTTTGACAAAGTCAGCGCATTTCTTACCAATTCGGCGAGATTTTACACTTCAGCGTTTGGCCGAACTGTATATCCGTGAGATTGTCAGGCTACATGGAGTACCATCGTCTATCATATAAGACCGCGATCCTCGATTCACTTCCCAATTTTGGAAGAGCTTGCAGAAAGCTCTCGGTTCCAAACTACATTTCAGTACAGCGTTTCATCCTCAGACTGACGGACAGTCTGAGAGGACTATCGAGATTCTTGAGGATATGATGCGAGCGTGTGTCATTGATTTTGGAAACAATTGGGAAAAATATCTTCCTCTGATGGAATTTGCCTATAACAATAGCTATCAGGCAAGTATTGAAATGGCTCCGTATGAAGCACTGTACGGAAGGAAGTGTCGAACACCAGTTTGTTGGACTGAGCTGAGTGAGAGGAAACTCGAGGGTCCAGAACTCGTGCGCGAAACAGAGGAGAAAGTTCAGTTGATCAGAGAACGACTTCAGATAGCAGCGGACAGACAGAAATCTTATGCAGACCTCAAGCGACGCGATATTGAATATGTTGTTGGTGATAGGGTATTCTTGAAAGTTTCTCCGTGGAAGAAGGTTCTACGTTTTGGCAGGAAGGGGAAACTCAGTCCAAGGTTTATAAGCCCATACAAAATTTCAGAACGTGTGGGACCTGTAGCCTACAGGTTGGAATTACCGCCAGAACTAAACAAGATTCACGATGTTTTCCATGTATCCATGTTGAGGAGATACAGATCCGATCCATCTCACGTTATTCCAATCGAGACTGTCACTCTGGATGAAAATCTTTCCTATGAAGAGGAACCTGTAGAGATCCTTGCACGAGAAGTTCAAGTGTTGAGAAACAAGACTGTACCCTTGGTTAAGGTGCTTTGGAGGAGTCACTCTGTCGAAGAAGCAACCTGGGAAACTGAGGAATCCATGCGATCTCAATATCCACAACTTTTCAGCGACCAGTGATTAGGTAATTTCGAGGACGAAATTATTTTTAAGGGGGAGAGAATTGTAACGCCCCGAAATTAGGCCTAAAAGAATTAATTAATTTAAATATTAATTAACAACTGAGACAGACCCGAACACTGAAAAATAAAAGTTTTCAGAAAAATATTTTAATTATATCAAAGTTTTAGTTTTGACAGTCTGATTCCAAAAACGCGATCCATTTTCAAAACGGAATAGTTTGGGCAAAAAAGCGCGTACCGTTTTAGCCAGTTTATCAGTTACGGAGTAGGAGAATATTTTTAATTCTCCAAAGTCTTCAATCACGCAGCCTCAATCTCCTCAAATCCTCAATCAAGCCACCCTACACCCACTAATTCATCCACTAGCATAATACCTCCAAAGGTGGAGTGTATTAAATATTAACTCTTTCTCCACTTTGTCAACTCCACACTCTCAATCCCTCTTCACACTCTCTCTCTGTCGGTCAGTCACAAAGGAGGAGGAGAAAGGATTCCATCTCCATTGTTGAGCCAAGAAGAAGAAGAAGGAGCAAGGAGAAACATCAAAGTTTCTAAAATCCTGAGTGAAAAACGCAGCAGCAACTTCTTCGTAAATTCTGTAATTCTCTATTCATTTTCTCGAATTATTTATTATACCAAAATCGTAGCCCCGGATGTTACGAATCCAACCCAACAAACGGTTCGTGATTCCGTTAAGTAACNAAGGAGATATCGCCAAAATACCGGGACTGCGTCAGTGGTGACGAGTTCCACGGGTTGGCTATGTTTTCTTCATCATATCCATATCTTTCATTCAAAGTGCTTACCATAAAACTCATATTTTCTTTTCCAATCATTCTCTCTTGTTGGAAGATTCATTCAAGCAAAGAAAAGAGGAAGAACTTCAACTCCATTGGTGAAACAAGAAGAAGAAATCATCATAAGTTTCTTCAAAATCCTGGCAGCAGCAAACCGTCACCTTGTGAGCCATTTTCATATATCTTAACGTCATTATTTCAGTCTGATTTTTGAACAAAAGTTGTAGCCTCGTGTCTCGCGAATCCAACGCATCAAACGGTTTGCGATTTCGTTGAGAAACGAAGGAGATATGGTCAAAATACCGAGACTGCGTCGGTGGCGACGGGTCACTCGGGTTTGACTACCTTCTTTTCAATATTCTTTCCATTCCGTTCAAAACTCTTATCGTCGATTCTCTAACGATTATTAGGAACTCCCAGAGAGTATTGTAGAGAAGACCCGACGTTGGAAGCTTGAAGTTGATAGAGGTGTACGTACGTTGAACGTTCGTTGAGGCGTATACTTTATTCCTATCACTTCCGTCTTCAACGTTATCAAGGCAAGTACATTGCACCCTAGTAACGCAATCCTTGGTTGAATATCAATCTAGATATATCGATAGGATTGATTGCCATATTATAAGTCATTTGTGCTTTAAGATCAAACTCATTAGACTCATAAAGTAAAAATATGTTTTTCTTGATACTTCACCTTAAATGAAAATGTAAATGTTAAGAATATTCCAAATACATAGATATGTTAATCATAAGTGTTAGAATAACTCAAAGAAGTATTTTAGATGTCAAAAAAAAATAAAATAATAATAAAAAAAAAGATTCGCGCCAAACGGTTGACCGTTCCGAGTCCCGTAGCTTAATTAAATGATATTTTTATCAGATTTCATCCAAATAAAATAAAGTATATTTATCCAATCATGTTGTTTACAAATTGTTCATATCATGTGATTCATTTCATCATCCATATTGAAACATCTCACATCATGTGCATGCGCAAGAGATCAGGCGGAAGTGCGTCTCTTGTAGTTGTGATTGTGCAGGACTTAGCAGTCTAACATCACGGACCGGGCTTAGTGTACGTACATGGTACTTAGGCTTTCGAGTACCACCCCTATTTTTGCGTGAGTTCGTCGTACAAAATGGGCGAATCTCATAGTTCAAGGCTTGTCCTTGTGACCTAGAATCATACAGCATGAATTCATCATCAAGCAAATGCAATCATTATGACTATGTATGACATTTATTACGTATCACAATCATCATTTGAGCATACATTCTATATTATGTCATATCATGATAATTATATGTCTACTTGCTATTCAACTTGGAATTGTTGTATTAGCGTATTCCTCAGCTGACGCTGAGCGTGTAGTTTGTTTTACTTGCTACACGCAGGTAACAATACTGATCATGGAGCCCATCCCGGAGGTCAATGAGAGTGACGAGATGTACGGACTGGTGGACAACATTTATGATGTTTTAATTAAATAAATACCTTTTCGGGCGAGAACCCAGAAAAATGTAAACAATTTGATTGTGTTTTATATTTAAGCTTCCGCATTGTTTCAGCAATACTCTGAATTTAATATTTGAAATTATCATTTATATTAAAGTTTAAATTGGTTTTAAATTATTCCTCAAATTGTTATGCGTATTTACCATCATGGTAACTACTTCGGCTCAAATAATCTATGTAATTGGGTTATTCGAGTTGGGGTGTTACAGGAAGAGTTGCATAGGAAGAGATTCAGCATCATCTTGTACATCTTCTTCATCATTGATTTTCAGAGTCCTTTGAGATTCTTCTTCTGCTTCCCCAAGTGTAAAATTTGATATATCTCTAGAGAGGGAGTCTCTTTCTTCAGCTTCATTCTGTTCTTCAAAAATGTCTACTGGAGATTTGGAGGCCTCCAGTTCTGCCTTTTGAGTTTCCTTCTCAGCTTCTGCAGAACTTCTTTGGGCTTCTACAGCTTGCTCTTCGTGAGCTTCATTTGTTTCTGGTGTTTTGGACATCTCCAGATTTTCTGCTGACTTCTCCGGGATCTCAGTGTCAGTAGGATTGGTGATCTCACAAGGATTTGTGAGAATCTCTAAAGCTTCAGAATGGAGCAGTTGCTCGAGTTCTTCATTTGATCCTTCCTGGTTCTGTTTTTATGGAGTAGAGATTGCAGCTTCAGGTAGAACAGTTTCAAAGGTAGATGAGGTTTCCGAAAATATTTGGAAATCCTCAGCTGTTGTTTCCAAGTTAGTCTGTGCTTCAGAAGTGAGAACCACCTGATCTTCTGTGGTTTTTGAGAGGACTGGTTTGTAGACTGCAGGATCCTCATCATCCACTTCAAATTCTGAAATTGGTGAGGTGACCAAGTGTTCCAGATGCAAATCTTCATAGTTCCTTTGCCATACCCAGTCAACATCCAGGATTTGCTCACAGCAATAGTTGACTGGCAGACCTAAGCACTTCTTGATGATCTTCTCATTCTTCAGCTGCTGGTCCCAATTCAGCAACTGTTCTGCTGAATTTCCAACTTTCCAAGCTCTCCAGTCATAGTAGAGCTGTTAGAATTGATTCTCAGCATCATCTACTTGAGGTTGTGAGGAGGTTGGAGAATTCTGAACTTGAGGAGTTTCTTCTTCAAGTTGTTGAGGACTCCGGTTGTGGGCAGGGCTTTCCTCAGTTGGTTCCTTCTCCTTCAACTCATCCGGATTGACATATCCAGATGTTGAGGGAGAGATGATTTTCCTCTTCTTTTTCCTTTGTAGTTCTCCTTGGTCAGAGAACTCTTCTTCTTCTTCAAGATTGATTGGAGCAAGATTCTGTGGTGCTTCAGCACTGGGAGAGGGAGACACCACTTGCTTCCTCTTTACTGATTTGTTCAGACTCATGATAAGGACATTGTCTGAAGAACTTTCCTCTGCAGTTGTGCTAGCACCAGCTTTGTTTTCCCCTTTGGAAGACAGATAGTATAGCCAATATCTGGCTTCATACTTCTTTCCTTCAGAGGCAGCACCCAAGGACTCCAAGATATGTCCAATGTACAGACCTTGACAAAGGTATTTCTGGTTGGGTTTTCCCAGATGCTTTGAGATGGAATTGAAGAAATGAGCAGCCTAATTTACCTTAGACTTGGTAATGAGGGCATTGATGATGAAGGCCCTCTCTTGGGTGATGTCATCAGCATGTCCTCCACTTCCACATTTGAGGCATGCGATGACCAGTTCAAGGACTAGCTTGTAGTCGTTGTTCAGATGAGTTTTCTTCGCTGGGCCAGAGGGAGCTTGCCCAGAAATTCCAATAATGTTCCAATCCAGATTCTTGGCTGGAAGTCTCCCAATTTCAACTCCAGAATTGGGAAGGTGAAGCTTTTCTCCCAATTTCTTCTGCGAAAGCTTCACTTTTGTCCCTCCAACAGTGGAATTGATGACTTGAATCGTCCTTTGTGGGTCCTTCTTTGATTTGACAGTCTTGACCTTTCCATTCTTGTAGAATTCAAGAACTTCGTTCTCATACTTGAATCGAATCTCCATATGAAGGAATTCGTAGAGCTCTTGAGCATCAATCATCTCCAGATAAGATTGATAGAAAGTTCGTGAGGAGCACTTGGCTTCCAACTTCTGGAAATGGATATTAGTGCCAACAATCTTCATTTTCTCAGAAATTTGAATGAGAAGATCTGAAGAAATTAGGGTTCTTGAGAATTTTATCAGAAGGTTCTCGTGAAGAAGACGATGAAAAAATTGAGTGGGCTGAGTGGGCAGTTGAGGTCTGATTATAGTGACGATTGGGTTTAATGTGGGCGATTTATGCGGCTAGTGGCGATTGGATTTTTAACTGTTCCCAAGGCCACGTCCCCCCCCCACCATTTTGACAGACGTGGAAAATGAACTGCCACGTGTACCGCACTCAGTCTAATTGAATTAGACCAATTTTGTGAAGCAAATCGGAAAACTTTGCTTCACTTAGTGGTTTGGTGAAGATATCCGCCAGTTGTTCTTCAGTTGAGATATACTCAATTTTGATATCTTTCTTTTCCACATGATCTCTGATGAAGTGATGCTTGACATCAATGTGCTTAGTGCGAGAATGATGCACTGGATTTTGTGAGATGGCTATAGCACTTTGATTATCACAAAAGATTGTCACTTCCTTTGTCTTGACTCCATAGTCCAGTAGTTATTGCTTCAGCCACAGAATTTGAGCACAACAACTACCAGCAGCAATGTACTCTGCTTCTGCTGTAGATGTAGAAATGGAGTTTTGTTTCTTACTGAACCAAGAAACGAGATTTCCACCAATGAATTGACAAGTACCAGATGTACTTTTCCGGTCAACTTTGCATCCGGCAAAGTCAGAATCTGAGTATCCCACTAACTCAAATGAATTGCTCTTAGCATACCACAAACCCATGTTCTGAGTTCCTTTGAGGTATCTAAGAATTCTTTTAGCTGCTATCACATGACTTTCCTTTGGCTTTGACTGGAATCTGGCACAAACACCTACTGCATATGAGATATCCGGACGGCTTGCAGTAAGGTAGAGTAGAGATCCAACAATTCCTCTGTAGAGAGTTTGATCTACTTCCTTTCCATCTATATCCATATCAAGCTTGGTGGATGTACTCATGGGGACAGAAACGGATGACTTCTCGTCAACTTTGAATTTCTTGATAAGATCCCTTGTGTACTTGGCTTGGTTGATGAGAGTCCCTTCACTTCTCTCTTTGATTTGAAGGCCAAGGAAGTAGTTGAGTTCCCCCATCATGCTCATCTCAAATTTTCCTTGCATGAGGGTTGAGAACTTGGTGCAGAGATCTTCCTTATTTGAGCCAAATATGATGTCGTCTACATAGATTTTGACTAACAGGAGATTTTCTCCGTCTTGTAGTTTGAACAATGTCTTGTCAATGACTCCTTTGATAAATCCATTGTTTATAAGAAATTGAGACAATGTATCATACCAAGCTCTCGGAGCTTATTTGAGTCCATACAACGCCTTTTTGAGTCTATACACCTGATCTCCCTTAGTGTGTAACTCAAATCCTGGAGGTTGTTCCACATAAACTTCTTCCTCGAGGTTTCCGTTGAGAAATGCGCTTTTGACATCCATTTGATAGACTTTGAAAACCTTATGAGCAGCAAAGGCTAGAAACAGCCGTATAGCTTCAAGTCTAGCAACTGGAGCGAAGGTTTCATCAAAATCTATACCTTCTTCTTGACAATATCCTTTGGCAACCAACCGGGATTTGTTTCTGATAACAACGCCGTTTTCATCCATCTTGTTCCGGAAGACCCACTTTGTCCCAATGACATGTTGATGAGTAGGTCTGGGAACAAGTTTCCAGACGTCATTTCTGGAAAATTGGTTGAGTTCTTCTTGCATTGCATTGATCCAATCAGAATCAGCTAGAGCTTCTTCAATATTTTTTGGTTCCACTTGTGAGATGAAACAAGCAAGCATAGCTTCTAGATTCTGCTGAGCACTTCTTGTGCGAACGCTAGATTGAATATCTCCAATGACTTGTTGGGGAGGATGATCCCTTAACCAACGAAGATTGTGTTGATTAGGATTGACTGGTTGATCTAGTTCAGCTTCTGGTTGAAGAGCAGAAGTTGTTGGTGTTTCCGGATGGATTGGCACTGGGTTGCCATTTCCGGAATTGTCGCCGTTTGAGTGATCCGGAATATTAGAAGGCTGGCCAAGATTTCCGGTAGGCTCAGCACTATTTGAATCCAGATTTCTTTGTGAAGTCTTCAGTGGTAGACTTCTGAATGGAATGAATTCAGTAGGCTTCATTTTATCTCCTTCATTGACTTCTTCATCCTTGTCAGATAGATCCAGAATCTCATGATCATGCTTTGATGGCTTGTCAACCACATGTTTTTCATCAAAAATAACATATATTGACTCTTCAGTGATCATGGTTCTTTTGTTGAAGACTCTGAATGCCTTGCTCACCATAGGGTATCCAAGGAAGATGGCTTCATCTGATTTCTCATCAAAAGTGTTCAGATGATTCTTCCCATTGTTTAACACAAAGCACTTGCTCCCAAAAATATGGAGATATGATATATTAGGCTTTCTCCCGTTCCATAGTTCATAGGGAGTTTTGTTGTGCCTTTTGTAAATCATACTCCTATTTTGAGTATAGCAAGCCGTGTTAACAGCTTCAGCCCAGAACCTCTTTGGTAAGGAAGCTTCTGCTAGCATTGTTCTCACTGCTTCCTTCAGGGTTCTGTTCCTTCTTTCCGCTACACCATTCTGTTGAGGCGTCCTTGCTGCGGATGTCTGATGAAGAATTCCGTTTTCTTCACAATAATGAATGATGATTTCATTCAGGAATTGTGTGCCTTTGTCAGATCTAATCTTCTGAATGGTCTGACTTGCTTGGTTTTGAATCAGCTTCATGCAGTTGGTGAGTTTCCCTTGAGTCTCCTTCTTGCTGTTGAGGAAGATTGTCCACGTGTATCTTGAGTAATCATCAACTACCACCAGGACATATTTCTTTCCACTTAGACTTATTGGTGTAACAGGGCCAAATAAGTCCATGTGGATAAGACTTAATATCCTTGTAGTTGAGGGTGCCGGTTTTGCCTTGAAAGTAGATTTGACTTGCTTTCCTTTCTGGAACACATCACAAATGCTTTCCTTCCTGAATACAGCTTTGGGAAGGCCTTCTACTAACCCTTCTTTGGATAGCTTGTTGAGAGTTTTGAAGTTGAGATGACTCAACCTCTTATGCCAAAGCCATAGAAGGTTAGTGTCACCTTTGCTGATTAGACATGCTTCCTTGACATCGTTCCATATCACTTCATAGATGTTTCTGATTCTCTTCCCAGTGAGAATGACTTCATTTGTGGAGATGTTCTTGAGAGATGCCATGTCCTTGCAGATTTCCAAGGAGTAACCTTTATCACAAAACTAACTTATGCTAAGAAGGTTGTAATTGAGTCCTTCAACATAAGATATAGCTTGGATGGTTAGTTCCTTGTACACCAGATTTCCTAGCCCTTTAGTAAGGCCAAAATCGTTGCTTCCTCCAAAAGTAACTCTTGGACCATCATAGGGAATTAGATTGCTCAAAAGGCTCGCATCACCCGTCATGTGTCTTGAGCAGCCACTGTCTAAGTACTAGACACCTGGGTACTTAGCGGCTTCCTGCATTAGGAAGAGGAAGATTTTGGTAGCCATTTCAGTTTGGGTCCGGAATGGTTAATGGTGTATGTCCCTACATCAAGTTTAAAGTTGCAGGGAATTTTTCTTGCAGCTCTAAACTTGTTGGGATTGTAATTATAGTTGTAGGCATAAAACTTCCTACGTGCAGGAGGTGCAATTTCCTGTTTCCTCCTAGCAAACCTAGGTTGATAAGACCTATAGTTTTGTCTAGGTTGTGCATAGTGTGACCTGTGTTGGTTATAAGCATACTTAGGTGGCATAAATAGTTTCTGGGGTGGAGGATGACTATATCTTGGCATACTTCTCCACTCAGAATTTCTCGGAAAACTCCTGTCTATCCAATAATGGGTATAGCCTCGTGTATATTGGGGGTTAGAAGGTTTTCTTCTGAAATTGTTTCCTTTTTGAGGTCTGTCCAGCTTCCTATAGTTCTTAGGAGGGACTACCTTTTTGGGAACTTCTGTTTGTTTCTCCTTTTCCTTCCCTTTCTGCTTATTTGGTTTGGCAGTAGGTTTAGGAGGGATAAAAGTTGTTTTCCCTTTCCTTTTGGAACTAGAGGGGTCAAACCAAGTCCTTTGCAACCCTTTTGTTTGGTCATTTCAAGAAGCTTGTTCACTGCTTCTTGGGACTTAAGTATCCCTAGCTCTTTGTTAAGGGATTTCACCTTTTCAGAGAGAGATTCATTTTCAGTCTTGAGTTGAGTGATCTCATTCAGTTGACTTTTCCGACTTTCAGTCAACTTGAGATTCTCTTCACTCAATAGTTTGTTCTATTCTGTTAAGGATGAGTGTTTGAGATTTATCTCCTCAAAATCTTTCATCATCTTTTTGAACGGGTCAAAAAGATTTTCAGAGGTTGGTATGCTATAAGAAGATGAGCATGAGGTTTGTGAAGTTACCTCTTGATCAGCATCATCTTTGGCCATTAGGCAGAGAGTGTTATCTTCTGACATAGTCCACCTGTCCTCATGGTTGGACTTCTCAACTCTGCGCTCCATGCAGACGAGGGCTTCTTCATCCGAGCTTGAGCTGGATGACTCATCACTTTCAGCAGCAACCATTGCTTTCTTTTTCTTCTCGATCCTTTCTCTTTCTCCGTACTTTTCCACCTTTGGGTACGGGCATGCTGACTTCCAGTGGCCAGGCTTCCTGCAGTTATAGCATAAATAAAATTCAGGAGGGGAGTCACTTACCTGTGGCTTTCCCTTGGATGGCCTTCTGATTGAATCAGCCTTCTTGAAGAACTTCTTGAACTTCCGGAATTGTTTGACCATCATGGCAAATTCCTCATCGTAGTTCTCCATTTTTGAGCTTGTCGGCTGGCTGGAGGAAGGTGTGTCACAGTTTCTTGTGCATGTCCCTTCACTTGATGGGATTCTTGGAGTTGTCATCAATGCTGTGGGGAAGGGAGTGACTTGTTCTTCCTTCTTCTTCTTCAGCTCGTGCTCATAGGTTCTGAGTTCATCAAGGAGACCTTGAACAGTGTAGTTCTCCAGGTTTCTTCCTCCTTCCATGGCTGTGGCTTTGGTGTACCACTCAGTTGGAAGTGATCTCAGCAACCTTACATTCTTTTCTTTGGGAGAAAGAATGTGGTTAAGTGAAGCAAGATTGTGCTTTGGCGACGTTGTCCAGATTGTGCTTTTTGCAATCTGGCTGCTTGGGCTTTGGAATGTACTGGACTACATCTGGAGCAGCTGGATTCCTCTCAGGGTTCTCCATTTGGATTTTCAAGGGTCCATCCTCAAGCACCATCCACATGCAATCATGTAGAGCGTAGAGATGTGCTTCCATCATGATCTTCCAATCATCATAACCTAGAAGAGAAAACTTGGGCAAACCGTGATCCATATTGTTCACCATTATGATCGCTTCTCGTTAATCTAAAAGTAGATAGTGAGAAGTATGCTCCGATACCAATTGGTGGTCCCGAAGTGGTGAGATACAAAGTCTAGAGGGGGGGTGAATAGACTTTGTTACAAGTTTAAAAACTTTTTTGTTTCTTTTGAAAACGTGAAAATGAGTGTTAATCTAGAGTTCTTGTGAACTTTAGATTATGTGCGGAAGTTGGTGGGTAGAGTGAGCAGTAATCAATATGGATGGGTTAGTTTTCTCAGTTAATATAATTGCAAGTAAGAATAAAGATAAAAGAGAGAGACACGCAAACTTTAACGAGGTTCGAAGGTGGGGTAATCCTTTTACGTCCTCAAAATCCACTATGTAGTTGGTTGTTGAATAATGAACCAACAATTACACTTGTGT